GACAGCAGATGAAATTATCAAGATGAATTTAAGAGCGCTTTGGTTTTAAAGTACAACACTCAGTCTGCCTTTTTCTGTGTTGAGCTGGAATTGCAGTGTTGAGTTCACGCCCCTTTCTGCCACTTACTTCCTCTGGGATCTCGGTTAAGGGGCTTAACCTCCATGGAACTGAGGTGCTTCACCTGCAAAATGGAACAATAACGACCACCTTGGGTTCACCTGAGAACACTTTTGGAGTAACTAGCACAGGACAGAACAGTGATAGGTTAAAAAAAAAAATCCAGTCGACACTTACGAAGCATCTACTATATATTCTAGGCAGCTGTGCTGTGCCCTGGCCAACTCTGGGATCACAGTTCACATTATACTCTTTGGAGATTTATGAATTAATAGGGCAGTCTTTTTTTTTTTTTTTTTTTTTTTTTTTTTTTTTTTTAGCCCGGCAGAAAATCAAATGTTTTGAGGAAGGTATACCTTATAACAATTTACACAAAGGCACCATTTAGGCTGGCGAAGGCTGGGTCAGTGGGCAGGACAAAAAAGTTACTATGTAATGGGAGAAGGCAACATCGAAACTCAAAAATATCACTGGTTGATGGTTGTGTTGAATCTCGAAAAAGCAGGAGTCCGCGAAGTCAACGAGGAAGGGAAAGGCATTCCTCACAGAATTAAAAACTACTGAAACTCAGCAGTAGTGACTTTAAAAGATGGGTATAAATTCCATGATATTTCTTCCTTTAAAAGATGAGGACTAATCCTCCTCTCTAGGAGTGTGGGTTGTATTTAGTGACACGCTTTTAGTCAACTGAATACGGTGGAGGTGTGTGTGACTTCAGATATTGGGTATCAGCAGATATTGGATCATAAAACGTATCGTGGCTTCCTCCTTGCTGTCCCTGTTCGGTCACTCCCTGTAGAGGAGCCCAGACGCCATGTTGTAAGGACTCTTGGCAACATCACGTGATTCATCTTGGACTTTTGGATTCTCCAGCCCCAGTCAAGCCTCCAGCTGATGCAGCCCCAAATGACATTTTGTCTGGAGCCTAATGAGATACCCTGAGCCAGAAGCATCTGACTAAGCTTGCTTAGTGGTCCAGGATTCCTGACCCACAGAGAGTGAGATAGTAAATACTTGTTGTTATAAGTTGCTCAGCTTTGGGACAGTTTATTTTGCAGAACAGATCACTACCACACTGGCAAAAACTCCCAATGGAAACTTCCTCTGATTGGAGACTGGGGCTTGAGTTGTTGGAGCCTGGGGGCCTGGAGACAGAGAAAAGGGGGTCTGAAAAGTAAACACCCCACATTCTCTTAGAAGAAGTTAGGATTTATCCTATCAGCAATACATTCAACCTGGAGGATGTTTTCACATAGAGAAGAGACATGATCAGAGTTGATTATGGTATCTTTGGCATGAAGTGGGATGGGAAGGGAGATTGGCTGGCAGCAGAGGGATATCCAGTTAGGAGGTTAGAGGAACAGTAGTTCAGGTACAAAGACAATGGCAGAGGGGGTGGAATCTGGGAGGACTGTCTTAAAATTTGGTGGTTCTCAGAAACAACCAGTATTTGGGGCCATCTTGTGAAATCATGCTTCACCCTGCATTGTGCGTGGGGAAAAGTATGCTGAACTATATTCCTACTAACATTATCATTATCATCAGACACACACACACACACACACACACACATGCGTGCACACACACACATGAGATAACTTTTCATGCTCTAACAGAATCAGCACTTTGTGAAAGGACTTTTGGGAAGTCCTTTTAGGAAGACTCTCACGCTTAGGATTTAATAGTAAGCCTCTGAAACAGTCCTTTATGGAAACTCTAATTTCAAGAACAAAAAGGAAATAAGGGGCCCCCACCTTCTATGAAAGGAATCAAAAGGCTCACATTTGTTCACTATTCTAATGAGGCCACATAGGATTAGACTGAATTATGGTGGGATGCAGATTACATGTGGTTTTCAAATGCTGGAAGATTCAACAGGATCCATGACTAAAACAGCATGGGCAGTGATGTTAAATTAGCTAAGAAGTGCTCTTCTTCCAAAAAAAAAAACTGGTTTCCTTAGAAAAATGACACAATTTTTGGTATTTCAATAGCCCTAGAAAGAGATGGATATATAAATACTAAGCCATGAATATTTCAAATGGCCACATTTCTTCCCTAATGGTTAGGGAATATAAGAATATATATATATATGTGTGTGTGTGTGTGTGTGTGTGTGTGAGTGTATTATATATATATAATATATATTATATAAAGAAACTTATATAATATTATATATGATATATAACCAAATGTCGTATATATATATATATATATATATATAACTTATTTTGAACTAAATGAAACCGATTTTCATTCTATTATCCTGTGAATGTGCTGTGTCATCACCACGCATGAAAGCTGCATTTCAGAATGTTTCTTCTGGGAAGTAGAAGTCTACAAGACCCCAGAACTGAAAACGAATCAGAGAACCAGAAAGAATTCAAACCCAGCAGAGAGTCAAGGAACCAAATTTGATCTCCTGAAGGAATGTTACAAACAATGGCGATGGGTTGAATCTTATCATTTCTGTTTCTGAAAAGTTTTCAAATGATGCTTTCTTTCACACTAACATATCATGTGGAACTTTTTTTTTTTTTATTTTTTTTTTCAGCGTTTATTTATTTGGGACAGAGGAGACAGGTATGAGCAGGGAGGGCAGAGAGAGAGGGGAGACACCGTCGGGAAGCAGGCTCCAGGCTCCCGAGCCATCAACCCAAGAAACCCGGCGGGAGGGCTGAAACTCACGGACAGCAGATGAAATGACCTGGCTGAAGTAACCGGCCTAAACCACCCAGGCGCCCCTATCATGTGGAACTTTTGAAGAAGTGTTAGCCTTCAAATAACTTGATTCAGTAAACAGTTGAATACTCAATGTCCTCATAAGAGGAGATAAGGTAGGTCCACTAAGAAGAGTGATGTTTCTCGGAAAGTAAATGTGAGAACCTGTGCTCCTTGAGGCAGAGACTGTGTTGTTGACCACGAAAGTCATGTGCCTACCGTGAGGCCTGGAAAAGGGAGCCGCTCGTCCAATGACCTGTTGAAAGAGGAACGAATGAACGGGTGGGCAGGTGTATGGACACAGGTAATGTTCATGATGTCGGGCTTGTACAAATAAAGACCATTCAAGGGGATGTCTCCGCTGTATGAACTCATAAATATTTACAACTGGAGTCTTGGAGAAGATGTGAAAAATCCTGATGTGTAAGAAAAGGTAAAAATAACAAACGTGTGAACTAAGTAAAGAAGAGGCAGCATATTTTAGGAAGCAGGATGAAGCTATTTTAACAAAAGCACATTGCTATCGCTATCATTCGGAAGAACTGTGATGTGGTGAAAATAACTTAATGAAACAATGTGTCTTCAACACGATCAAAAATCCGCTTCTGGCCCACAGTCCAAAGTTAAACGTTGAAGGAGGGAGCAAAGAAAAGGACAAAGAGAAACCACCACCATTAGTGCCTGCACCAGAGCTATTTATTAGCGTAACTTTTTTTTTTTTGTTTCTTAAAGATTTCATAACAACTGAAGTATGTACAAAGTCTTACAGCATTTACACCATAAAAAGTTTCCCATTAGCCGATGAAGTCTAAGGTAGTGCTGCTGAGAACTTCGGGGCATGAGTACAGAGCAATGAAGCAGACTGCCACACGTTTACCTCTCTGCGACCGCACCGCGACTATCAGCTGGTCCACAGCTAACTAACCACCTGCGGGACAGGTTACTGGGGAAAACGGGGAACAAGCTGATAGGCAGCACTAGAGACCAAAGGCGGGGGGGGGGGGGGGGGGGCGGGAAGCTACATGGCATCATGTCTCTACAGTTTCCTAGAGCTGTAACAAAGGTCCACAGCCTGAGAGAATAACATAGGCAAGACAACACAATCGCACTGCTCGGATATGGTTCAGCTACGGAAGGTATTCACTTCTGCATGGGAGGCTCTATACTGATATGGCTGGTATTTCCATTTGTGTTTATGTCTTCAGAGAACTCAAACCTGCACAAGCCCCACCCCCCTCTCCCAAATAAATCAACAACGCAGGAAGGGGAGGAGAGAGGGAAGAGAATCAGCATAGAATCAGTTCTTGATCAAAAACCGTTTTGTTTTGTTTTGTTTTTTAAGACATTTAGTATCAGCTTTAGGATGGCCATTCCCGTCAAAAGATTAATAGTAGGCATTTTGGAATCAACCCCAATCAGAACATCAACAAAACCCCCAACCCCCGGACTCCTAGATTTAATCGCCCTCGTTGTATCTGATTGTCTTTCCTCGGGGTCAGTATTACACAGAAGCACCAACATTTTACACACGGAGTCGGACACAGAACGTAGCACGGTTGCCCCATTACTTTGACGAGTGGCAGCAGAATTCCAATACGCGAACGCTTAACATCAGGCTCACCGCTTCTCTTCCTCAGAAAACCCAGCCTGGTTCTCTCACTCAGGTCAGTCACTGTTATCCGTTTGGTAGCAGACCCCATTTCCTTCCCCACTGTTTGGGTCTCGCGTGTAGGCAAATTGGCTTTTTACTTCGAAACGGTTCTCCTCTCAACTTAAAAGCCAGCGGATAAGATTTTTAATTAAGACACAATAGCGCGGGATAGAAAAACACAAGAACCACATAAATATCGAAGAAGTTGTCTACCGTTTTTCGTGTAAACAGTTTTGCTCAAAAGATCGAAGCCCTAGTTGGATTCTGGATTCTGGCCGCAAACTCTTGGCAGGTGACGTGCGTTCGTTCAGCCGGGCTCTGCAGCGATGGTGGACGTGGAAGCCGGGTCGGTCCCCATGTTGACAGGCATGCAACTTGGAAACATTGCACAACAAGCAACACAAAGAGAGTGGAGAAGCTCACAACACTTCAAGGAGACCTCACACCCTTCACGACTGCGGATGCACAGACAGAGACCCACCCCTCCCTCCTTCGCACGGCCTTTCTGTCTCACACGTGGGAGACCTTCTGTGACTCTCTGGCTTGTTTGATGCTATACAACCACTTGATGATCCTCGCGTTTCTTTCGATGGCAGAGATGCCGTATGGCACCCGGTCATTGGCACTGTCGTCATTCCTAAGGTCACTATTACTGTCCTGAGACTGTTCGCAGTCTGAGCTGATCATGCTTGCGCTGCGGAAGTTGAGGGATATGATGTCGGAGTTGGCCCGGGCAAAGTTTTCCATGCCGAGGTTCTCCAGCTCCTCGGGGTCCAGTCCGCAGTAGTTGAAGAACCTCTCCACGTCCGCGTCCACCCGGAAATACCGGTCGCTCAAGTCCGACTTGGACCGCTGGAGCGAGGGCCTCCGGCTGACGCCGCAGGCCGGTTCCACCGCGTCGGCCTCGGGGGACTTCGCGGTGGCCGCGGCCGCGACCTTAGGCTTGGGAGGCAGGGGGGGCGCGGAGCTGCTGCAGGGGATCGCTTTCAAGGGCTTCGCGCTGGTCACCCTGCGGATGTCCGAGGAGCTGTGCGAGACGTGGAGGAAGGACTCGGCCGCCGGCTCCAGCAGCCGCCGGCCCCCGTGGGAGCCGCCCTCCTGCGGGCTGCCGCGGCCCTGCGTGGGGTACACCTTCAGGGACTCGGCGAACGAGTGCCGCTGCAGGTCGGCGGAGTCCGGCCGGTGGGGCGGCCAGTTCCGGGCGCTGTGCTTGTGCCCCGAGCCCGAGCTGGAGCCCTCCGAGCTGTTGATGATGTTCTTCAGGATCTCGAGCTTCAGGGTCTCCCTCTGCACGCCGCTCTCGGTCTTGGCGTGGCCGCCGAACACGCGGAGCGTCGGGCTGCCCAGGGCGCGCTTGGCGGCGGGGCACACGGGCGGCTTGGCCAGCACGGCCGGCTTCACGGGCTCCTGCTTGGCGTTGATGACCTCCTGGCTCTTGACGTACTTGGCCTTGTCGGCCTCCAGCCTCTCCACGGCGCTGAGTCTCTTGGGGTTGGGCTCGGCCTGCCTGCGGAAGTAGTCGGGGCCTTTGTTGAGGATGCGCAGGGGCACTGCCGAGGTGAAGGTGCCCGCGGGGCTGACCGGCTTCACCATGCTACCTGTCTGGAGCGTCTCCGTGGGCATGGTGGGTGGCCTCTCCCCGGCAGCCGTGTTGGATTCTCGTCTGGGCGCCTCCGGGTGCGCGGGGCAGACACATGTACATGAAGCACGCAGGGCGGCGCACGGAGCCTGGGGTCTGGGAGTCGTCAGCAGCAGCAGCAGCAGCAGCGGCGGCGGCGCCTCATCTCACGGCTCGCCGACCGCCCCCCCGCCTCCGATCCGCTCGCCCCCCTCTCCGGAAGGCCACGAGCCACGAGTTCCTCTGATGCGCCCGGCCGCCTCCTTTCTTCTCCCCGAACGACGTGGGAGTCTCCTCCGGGTCTTTGTGTTCGACTGCAGGCAGAGCTGAAACACACAACAACCAACCGCGGGTTAGGACGGGCGAGTGACATCACGGCTGTAGCAACAGAGAAAGCCCGCGGCGCCCCCGCCCCCCCCCCCCCCCCCCCCCCACCCCCGCCGGCCGCGCCTGGGCGGAGGGGCCCCGGGGCCCGGAAAGCGCGCCCCGGGCGCCCTCAGTCGGACGCGGGGGCTCGGGGCGCGCGCGCACGGGGGCCGCGCTCTCCCACGCGTGTGGGCTCTCGCGGCTGCCTCCCCGTGGCCGCGATCCGCCCCCCGATCACGCCCGGCGGGCGTCCCTCGCACCAAACCCAGCAAATCCTGGGTGGGTGTGGAAATGCGGGCTTGGCCAGGGCCGGGTCCCCGGGGCCCTGAACCCCGCGGCGTTGCGAGGCTCCCGCATCCGCGCCGGCGACCGCGTCGGGGAGTCGGGGAGTCGGGGAGCGCCGTCTCCTTCCCTCCGGCGGGCGGCCGGCGCAAAAACACTTCGGGGTTTCTTCCTACCGACCGCTCAGTAACGTCTGAAAGGAGCGCTTCCTTCACTCTTCAAAAGCTGAAGATAACGGGGCAAGCCACGGGATTGGCAGCAGAGATGGAAACAAGTTTTTTTAAAAGCGGGTTTCAGTTATCTTACTTTGGACAACCCATATATTTGAAAGCACTTTCTCCCGAAAGCCAAGTCTACGGTATGGAGCTCCTCCTGTTAAATAAAGCAAGCTTATTTATTTATTTATTTTAATTAAAAAAGAAAACTAGAAAGACCTCCGGATTAACCAAGTTAACTCATTTGATTATAAATGCTCCATAATGTTTCACACTTCATGAGCAGAAATCAAGGGTTTCTCTGTGGTACGGGTTTCCCCCGGTCCCCTAGAGAACTAAGAACTAAGAACATGTGAAGACGTCAATCATACCTAAGCATGTCTGTGCTACAGAAAACTGGTGCAAGAATTGAGTATTCACGGATTTATTATTTGTGGCTTTCTGAACAATCTGACCACCCCGGCCCTCAACCAAAACCACCACAACGAAACATTTATCAATACTCCCAGTATCAATCTATCGGCTGTCTCTCTACTTAGTGAACGATATATGTAGCATTTAAAAAAAAAATAAAAAAATGTTTATTTATTTTTGAGACAGAGAGAGAGAGACAGAGTGCGAGCAGGGGAGGGGCAGAGAGAGAGGGAGACACAGAACCTGAAGCAGGCTCCAGGCCTTGAGCTCTCAGCACACAGCCCTACACGGGGCTCGAATTCGCGAACTGTGAGATCATGACCTGAGCCGAAGTTGGGCCAACTGAGCCACCCAGGTGCCCCTAAAAAAATTTTTTTTAATGTTTATATTTGAGAGAGAGACAGAGACAGTACAAGCAGGGGAGGGGCAGAGAGAGAGGGAGACAGAATCCGAAGCAGGCTCCAGGCTCTGAGCTGTCAGCACAGAGCCTGATGCAGGGCTTGAACTCATGAACCTTGAGATCATGACCTGAGCTGAAGTCAGACGCCCAACTGACTGAGCCACCCAGGCACCCCTAACATTTACTCATTTTTGAAAGACAGAGAGAAACAGAGTGTGAGCAGGGGAGGGCCAGAGAGAGAGGGAGACACAGAATCCGAAGCAGGCTCCAGGCTCTGAGCTGTCCGCACAGATCCTGACATGAGCCTTGAACTCATGAACCATGAGATCATGACCTGAGCTGAAGTTGGAGGCACAACCCACTGAGCCACCCAGGCGCCCCCTAAAATTTTATGTTTATGTATTTTTGAGAGGGAGAGAGAGAGCGAGCACAAGCGGGGGTGGGGCAGAGAGAAAGGGAGACATGGAATCGGAAGCAGGGTCCAGGCTCTGAGCCGTCAGCACAGAGCCTGAGGCGGGGCTCGAACCCACGAACTGTGAGATCAGGGGCTCCAACCCAGGAACTGTGAGATCATGACCTGAGCCAAAGTCCAGCGCTTAACCGACTGAGCCACCCAGGTGTCCCATGTAGCGTTTTTCTAAGAACAAGTCTCTTTGCCTGTTACTGCTGACAGAGAACATTTATGAATGCGTCAGCATCCCAGGGTAACTGGTTACAGCCCTTTTCAGCATCTTTGGTTATAATAAGCAATATTAAGGGTAATATATTCACTAACATCAAATAACTAATTTACAAAATAAAGTGGCGTACGTATAAAATCATCTGCTCTCACGTTAAGAAAATGAAGGGTCCATTAATAACAAGCATGGAGGTGGGGAGGGGAGGGAAGCCTGAGATTCCTCTCTCATCATCTTTTACAAGCTCAATCTCCAAATACACCCATCGCCGTGTTTTGTTAAGAGACGATTTTGGGAATCTGCAAAAGGATTTGTTCTAATAAAAATATTTTCCTATGCGAGAGTTGAGAACCCCCAAGGCAATTCCTACACAATAACTTCCTTTAATTGTGCGCTATGTAGTTTAAAATGTCACCGCCTCCTCCCCCCTCTCATGGATTCGGTGAGATTGTTTCTTTGAACACATTTTGAGCGAAATGCCAGAAGGGAGTGACTATTTCTCTGCGGAGTCTTCTGCGTTTGGTCATCCACCAACCTGGGTCCACCTTCCTGGGAAGATGAACTGGGGCTCCCTTCACAGAGGGGCTCAGGGCCAGAACAGGCAGGAGAGCCTGGGGTCAGAGGCAATCCACCGGATCACAAACGGAGTGCGCGACAGCAGGCTGCCCCCAGGACAGGCGACGTTTCTTCCCAGCATGTGTAACGTCTCCTCTGATTAGTTTACCTCTGGAGTTTCCAACTGTGTCCACAGAGGGGACAGGGGCAGTACATCTGGGGACACAGTGAAGGACAGGAGTGAGATTGGCACCCAACAGCTCTGTGCTCAGGGACCAAAGCCAACCTCTGGCAAGGTGAGCCGAGGGGGAGGATCGTCCAGTGGGTTGCAGGAGACAGGGCTCCTGGAGCCTCTTCTGCTGGGGCCTCGTCTCCTCATCTGAGATAGGAGGTGCTTGGGTGAGATCTTGGGAATCTCACCCAAGCACCTCCTATCCCTCTAAGTCATGTGGTTCTGAGAAGCCAAGAAGGAGCGAGCTACTTCCAATTTCAAAATGGCATATGGGAATATTGGCTCAGGACTGCATTGTGGTTCCTGTATTTACCATTCTTAGGACAATATTCTCTGCATGATGAGTTGTCCTTATCACGTAATGTGAACTGGCATTAGAGCCCATGCTGGCCTGCTCTACTGTCTCCCCTTCTAACCCTATCCTGCTAAGACCAGAAGCCCCAACCTCCACTGCTACTGACCTGACCATACCGCATGGCCCTGTCTGTTAAGGCGGGCTTTGGTGTCGTTGAGAACACGAAACAAAAATCATTACTTTCCGCTCACAAGACTGGCAGACACCAGTTTATTTAAATACCCGGGCACCCGCCTCAGAAAGCTCCCTGTCTTGCTTTCACAGTTTGCTTTCTTCGTGGAAAAAAAAGGCGAGGCAATGGGTAAACAGAGGCAGACGCTCAGGATGGCTCCCGCAGGCACTCCCATCTGTTCCACGCCATCTCACCTTCGGAAGCACGCACTAGAACAAAACCCGTGTGAAAAGATTATGTTACAAAGGTCGTGACTGGAAGCAGTTCTCACTGCATTTCCTTGTTGTTTCCACCCCTTCCCTCTTCCTTTCCTCTGGCACCCCCAATCTCCCTAGTAACTTTCAACACCCTGATATTTACAAACGACCAGGTTCCGAGCCTACATGTTTAATCCGGACTCTTTGGAGAGGAAAAGGAAAGGCATCTTCCTGGAAGAAACAGGTTGGGTGCTACAGGATCTGTTTTGGCCAACAAACTACAGCTACTTCAGACCTAATGAAGGCGGCTTAGGTGCTCCTTCTTTTAATGCTCCCATAATCCCTAACTTCTGTTCTTTTCCTTTTCAACGTTGACACGGTGCTGGCTGAGATCGGTCAAATGGTAGATGCCATGCCTGGAACCCCGGGACCACATCTCGAGGTCATGGGTGTGTGACAACCACGATCTCTGCTCGGGGAGCAGATGACGCCCCTCTGACCCCTGGACAGGTCCCTCGGGTGCGGCCAGGCACTGGCCAGGAGGGGCTTCTACTTCTTTACCTCATTCTAGGAAAGGAAGATCAGAGCTCCGCCGCCTAGAATTTCATCAACAAAGGTAATTATACAGTCCTGCCTGATCCCTGACTTGCGGCTACGAAGAGGGAACATAAGCCCGAGGCAGAGAGACACTTCCGCTCACCAACTATTTGGCTACATTCTCCCCTGTTTAATATCCATTTGAACATTTCACGGAAGTAAAAAATGAACCGGAGAACAAAGCTTGGCAGAGGTGAGACACAAAACGGTCCGCCACATCAGGGTGCACGTGAACTCCACAGCAATCTGGCCTCGGGTGACAGGGGCAGGGCCCTGCCGGTTCCTCCCCCCCGTGGAGCAGGGGGGCTAGAGGGGTCACGTTATTTGCGGGGATCCCGCTCTGGGTGGGGAGGGCTGGAGGCCACAGGCGCACACAGTGACTCTCACCCACTTGAAGCAGTGTTTCTCAAGCTGTTACGTGCCCGTGCACTCCAGGGGATGCCCTGCAAACGCCCACTCCTGAAGTAGATCTGGGGTGGGGGGGGGACCTAGATCCTGTGCCGCTCACAGATCCCAGGCGAGGCCTAGGAAGCTGGTGCACCT